TGGAGCGATTGGAGGTGCTCAAGGGCTATGGCTGCGTGGGACTGGGGGGGAAGCTCTACGTTCTTGGAGGAACGCTGTGCATCAAGGAGAGGGATTTTGGCGGCGGCTGCCACAGGGATCTCCGCGTGAGGAGCGAGGCGCTGGCATACGATTGCATCGGCGGCGGTGGAAACAGTGCGCGAGCATGCGCAAGGCGCGAGTGGATTTCGCGTGTAGCGTCTCCGGCGGGCGGGTTTTCGTGGCGGGCGGGCGCGGGCGGCTGGATCACGAGAACGCGGCGGCGATGGCGAGCGCGGAGGTGTACATCCCGGAGCTGGATCGATGGGAGGAGCTCCCAGACATGAGCATGACCAGGTAAAGATCAAGAGTTCTTGAGAATTTTAGGTGGGAAAGTCTCTTCGATCTACCGATCCGGCGACCAGCTCAATCACTGGCGAGGCTCGATCGATGTGTACGACGAGCGGCTCAAGATGTGGAAAACGATCCCCGGCTCCAACCGGCGGCTCGGGGAGGATACCGAGTGCACGGAGCTCAAGAAAACCCTAGCTAAGTGCTAAGCTTGTTAATTATCCCAGAAAATATAGTTTAATCTCTTTGAGAAACTATTCAAGACCTAAAATCTATCAATCCATAACAAGATTTCAAATTTTACCACAACATAAGTGTCCAATTCTGGTAGTAAAACTTTATGACATTCTCCATGTGCAATCACATATTCGTTGCAATACATCCTTGGATATTCAGTGGTTTTTAAATTTCTTATGTGGATGAATTTATGTTAATGCCATTCCATTTTTGCACAAGTATATGACAAATTTTTCATATTTACAAAAAAATTGTAATCCACTTCATATGAAAACTTTGTTAATATAAATTAACTCAATCATAGATTTTAGGTGAATGGTGCACATGAAACAATAAAATCCATCTGAAAACAAAAAATAAAATGAGAAAGATGGAGCTTTAGTTTTTTAGGTTAACTAAAAGGAGTTGTATTGTTTGTTAATACTTTAGCTTTACTTTATCCTCTTGACTAATGGTCTAGCTTGCTTTAAAAATGTATTGTATCTATCTTCTCATTATTAAAATTTCTTTGTTAGATAAATAAGTTCTTCTGGTTTAAATTGAAAGATATTAATATTTTTATCTAGAATCTTCAAATTGTTGTATACTATTACCATAAATGCTTAATTGTTTGAAATTTTATCAATCATACTTATCATTAATAATTGAAATTTCTCCTATGTAATTTTAGTAGATTTCATCTCTTATATATAAAGTTTTGAGATTAGACATTTTTAGGATGTCACTTAACCCAGTACTATTAAAACCTAAAGACACTTAATCTTAAATATCCCAAAACCTTTAATTGATTGAAAAAGGGGGTGCACTCTTGTTCATGGGCCTTTTCCTTTTATATTTAAACCCTTGTAAATTGTTTCTTAAGTTGTTTATTTTAGTTACTTATATTATACTCCAATATTTTATACTCCTAATCTGATACATACACTAGCATATATATATATATATATATATATATATATATATATATATATATATATATATATATATATATATATATATATATATATATATATATATATATATATATATATATATATATATATATATATAAATATAAAATTCATGTGTTAGAAATTCTTCATTTTGTCAAAACAAAGATATTAGATTCTAAATAATTATTATAGAATTTTATCTACTTCTTCTAGATCTAGTATTTCTATATCTTTTTATAGTCAGGATATATCATGCCTTTCATTCAGCTATGATGACTAAATATAAGAGTTTTTTTATTCTTGTTGGAGCATTGACATTTTTGCTTAGTGTTTACAATAGTTGCCCAAAAACAAGTGCAACAGCTTGAAATACAATCATTATGGTCTATACTTGTACAAAAAAAAAGATATTGAACACTTGGATTGGAAGATGATTGAATATATGCTATATTAGGTTTGCTTGCATCAAATGTAATTGAGAATTGCTAATCTCAAAAGCCTTTATGATAGTGTTATTTTTTAGAGTATAGAATTTTTTAGTTAAAAACCAGATAGTGTAGTATTTGAAGCAAGTAATAAAATAAAAGATTGTTTTATTGAATCAAGTTCTGTTGTTGAAGGTTTTAAATAAAACCATAAGTCTTGCAGCTGCAGAAAACTTTCCACATGCAAATAAGAAAAATCAAGACTTTTCACACTAATATAAAATCTATCCTCTTAGCTGAGAAGAAGTATGGAAGAAATAGAAGAATGGATTGGGTGAACCACCAACTTATAATTAAAGTTCATTCTAAATATTATTTTATTGAGCATTAAGCTACAACCCATATACCTAATAATAAAAATATGATTATTCAAAATCAAGTGTACTTTGTTTCTCCATTCAGCACAAAAATATTTAAGAAAATCTTCTTCATATTTGAAATCAATTTCAAACTTCTCAATCAGCTCCATAACTTCTGTTTATAATTTTCTAGGATCAAAATAAGTGCTGTAAATTGTATGGAACATGATACTTATTAAGTTGGTCCATATTCTCATACAAGTGACTTTCTGAATTAGATGCTTCAGCCAATTTCTTCTTATGCATAGTATGATCTAACATTTGAATTTGGCCCTAAAAATTATAATTAATTAAACATATAATAGTAATTTATATAAATAGCATTTATCTCAACTTCAATATCATCAACTTTGGTTTCCAATATTTATTTTGTTCCAAAATTTAATCCTTCAATGCTTGCATCCATTATATCATATGTTTTCCTCTCTTGCTTGAAGTTAGAACCTAAACAATATGAATATCATTATTATTGTAGTGCATATTATCTCTCTTCTTAACTAACTAGAAAAGGGGCAATTGCTTAATAAATTAACCTTTACTGATTATTTTATCCTCATAAATTTATTAAGGTTCCAAATATTCACAATGATAATATATATAATCTTATTTCATGATCACATATGCTACACTCACCTTTTTTTCAAAGATGTTAATGTTTTTATTGACTATTAATTAACAACCCCTCAGTAATAATATATTTAATCTTATCTCATGATCACATACGCTACACTCACCTCCTCTTCAAAGATGTTAATATTTTTATTGACTATTGACTAATAACCTCTATTAAACTAAAGAGAACTAACACCTTTAAAAAACATACTCATAAATGCCTAATATATATAATTTTAATTTTAAAGGTAAGAATATACTTTGATATTTTATGTAACTATTAATATATGGGAATTGAACCCATGTCATTTGCTCTAATACCACATATAGATATATTGATCAAAGAATAGCTAATAACTATTATGGAATTTTATACTCTCTTTTGGTGCAATAATATGCCTAACCATTTGTAATTCATCTTATTAAACTAATTAAAAAATGGGCAATTAAAGAAATTTTAGTGGTTATTTTATCCCTATATATCCCCCTAAGGTTCCAAGGATCCACAATGACAGTATATCTAAATTTCATCCCATGATCACATATGCTACAATTGTGATAATCAAAAACAAAAATGATATATAATAAAAATTATACTGAATTAGTTATTAATCACTATAACTATACCTTATAACAGTTAGTTACAAAAGTAGCATCCAAACTTAATAAACTATTAAAACAATATTCAATTAGTTGATTGAATTCTAAGCGTAAAATGTTGTTGAATAGCATCTCCTTCTTGGTAGAAAAACACTTTTTCTAGATTGATAGATTTTTATATACAAACACTTTTAGCATCATTTGGATGACACTAATAGCTATATACTTCCTCAATAAATTGTTGATGGTTTAAAAACTTATGAAATCATCATGACATGGGTCCTCATCATAGATTTCTTTTTAGCCACCATAACTATATGCTCATTATAAATCTGATTTGGTGTATAATCCTGTTGGATCATATGAAGGATTCAATGTTAGATCTTCATTAAGAGCTTTTGTGGGAAAAAGAATCATCTAGAATCCCATCTAAATCATAGTGTTCTTCATGATAAAAGTGCCTTGCACATAATTTAGCCACATATAAAACTAGTTGACACTGAAGTTATATAGGCATCTTTGTTTGTTAGATTTCCAATCTCCTTTAGTCCCATATGTGATTGATTTGAAAATGTGACAGTGATGTTCTTTGCCATATTCACAAGAATACCTATTAGAATTATATATTAGAAAGAGATTTAAGTGTAGTAAAAATATCATACCTTATCATTGTGTAATAATTTAATTCTTTTAGTCTCTTTAGATCCTTTGGTGGATGTTTCTTATTATTTAATGTCCAAAAGTTTGTTTTACTTTGTTTATTTTGTCCATTAATGAATTTTAGTATATCCTTGAATTCCAAATAAGCTACTAGTGCTTTCAAGCCACTTGCAAAAGTCTAATCAACATTTTCAGCTGTGATCATATTTTTCTCTAAAAATTACTAAACTTTTCACATCGATAAAGGTGTATAAATAATAAATTAAACACTTATTTACCTTTAAAAATCTTAATTATCCTAAAGTTTTAATTTAGTTCCTCCCTATATACAAAATTCAAAATTTAATTAAACTACACAACTATGATTACAAACAAACAAACCAAGCAAACTTTTAGCCTTTCATATTCACCCTGAGTAATTGAAAAAGGTAGCAAGCCAGGCAAGCCATGAAGTAGGGAGTGGCCGAGTGCCTGGCTGAGCCGGAGTGGCCAAGAGGGCCAGGAAACCGACTGCCAGTGCTCGGCCCACCGGCTTGCAACTCAGCTCTCGTCTCGTGGCCCTCGCTCTCTCAGCTCCCCTGGCTCGTGGCTCACTCACGGCTGACTGGCTCACGCTAGCTGGTGGGCCGAGACGGCAGAGCCGACTGGTGATCGGGGACCCGAGATGGCAGAGCCGGACTGAGGGCCGAGACGGCAGAGCCGGGACCTGAGACGGCAGAGTGTCAGGTCCCCCCCCCCCCCCCATGGGTAAATGACTCCTAACTAAGATGACAATTGAGGAGGGTTCTTCACGAGTGGTAGGCCTGATGGACAGGGGATTGAATAAGGGTACTCACACTTGATTTAAGGTTTGAGGTTATCCCGAGTACAGAACCTGCTACAACGTGTGGGTTCCCACGTACTGGCTTGGCCCCCGCCACGCTGTCTTTCCCAGTTGCCACGTTTTATAGTTTCGACGTGACAATAGAGAATCCCCGCTACAACGTGCAGATTCCCACGTACTGACGCTACAACGAAATTCCCTCTACAACGTGTGGATTCCCACGTACTGGTCTAGCCCTCGCCACGATACTTTTCCCCGTTGCCATGTTTCCTGGCTTTGAAATGGCAAAAGTAAACTAGATTTAACGGGAGGCTGCGGGGAGCCTCTGCTTCTGCAAAAGCCCAGGGAGAATAGTTTGTCATTGGCCAGGGTGAAAAAGACATCCTTTGAGTTATCGTTTGATCGAGGATGGTCGGTAGCATGACGGTGGCTACACCAAACGCTTGAATTCACACTCTAGTCCGCACGCATATAAAGGCCAGTGACATTGCTCTGCATATATTCCT